CACTGTGATGGACTGAAATAACTCTCTCATTAACACAATAGTTGCTGTTGCCTTAGTCTGTCGTAGCGGGGGAAACTGCGACACGGTTGCATGGTACAAACTGCATAAAATGCCAACCGCAGTGTGTGTCTGTGTGTGTGCGTGTGGTGTGTGTGTCTGTGTGTGTGAGAGAGAGAGAGAGAAAGAGAGAGAGAGAGAGAGAGAGAGAGAGAGAGAGAGAGAGAGAAAGAGAGAGATCATGCATTGTTTTTGCTTTTTCGCCAAAATTAAATCTGAAGATATTGCTAACGAGAATATGAAGGTGCTTTTAACTCTTAGAGTCCCAAGGAACGCATCATACGTTCATAGGTTCCTGCCTAGAGGCCCAATAAACGCAAGATGCGGCGATTTACATCTCTTTTGACTACCCCTTGGGCCTCTGATGCTAAACCCCCTGGGACTGAAAGAGTTAAATTACATGGAACAAACGGCCGAGCGAACGATGGTTTTGAAAGAGGCGGGAGCCCGAAGACAACTAATCACAGACATCAGAAGGAGACAGTCGTCATTTTTCAGCCATGTTATGAGAAGAGGGAAAATGGAACATGTGGTGACCACTGGAAAGATCTGTGGAAGGAGGGATAGAGGAAGACAACGATAGAAGATTCTTGACAGTCTTATTGCAAGGCATGGAGGTGTCTCAGCACACCAACTGATACATGCTGCAAGAGATAGCAGATTGTGGAGAGGCATGATCGCACACGCCAGTCGGCAAGTTACCTGATGATGATGTTACACTATTCGTATTCGTATTCGGCCGAATAGTGAAAATCACTATTCGGTACAGCCCTAGTTTGAATCACTACCATGTAAGGAATAGTAACTGTCCTGCGCTTTCAAATCAAATTAGTCTTAAATAGCTAACAACAAATGTTCTCGGAAATAAATTCGCCCTGTAGGCAACTAAACCCACCATCCATGGAAGCGCCCTATTTTTTTCGTTTACTCGATAGATTCTTCCGTTAGTAGTGCCTTATGGTATGACAGACACAGTCAGCTTTCCCTCCAGATGTACCCACTCTTTGGGTGGGTGTCCCTTCCAGATTTTCATTTGCAAATCCTGGAAACTCCGTTCAAGCGTATAGCCGTATAGCACAGTTATACTGGGGCATCACAAAGCAGATTGCATATCGAAGGGTCGTTGGGTTGGGTCCTCGTGGAACCGGCCTTTCTTCAAAAACGACTTTGACTCCCAGGTCGACCCAGCCTTGAGTGGGTACCAGGTGCACAGCTAGGAAGTAAAGGCGATGTTGATCTCATCACTTATCAAGTGTCGATTGGTATAGAAAATATAGGTCTAGGGCTATATGTCTAATACGTCTGAAGGCGTGTAAAAGAGTTCTTTACTACTTTACATCCAAAGCGGTTACAAAAGTAGGTAAGTAAGTAGGTCTCCCTTCACCAGGACATCACACAGAGCGATAAACACCCGCCAACACAAAGTTCCACCATGCAGTTAAGGATAACTGTGTAGAGATCGTGAAAACCCAGTTCTATCTTTGTTATATAATAAGGCCCCTGGCAACAGCCAGAGTGGGGCTTCAAAATAACCAAAAACATTGCATCCTAGAAGGGAGGTCTTCATAGTGTTAAATAATTACAAAAAGTAATCAGGAGAGTATACTGTACATACAAACATATCATATTTTTTGCACTATAAAAATTTAGCAATTTAAATGTGTGTTTTTTCCTGAATATTTGTCAAGGCACATATCATTGATCAAATTATTTATATGCAGAACTAAGTTTTGTTAGCCTATCAGTAAATAGTGTTGACACCAAAGCCAATGTTATGAACGTGGAGGGAGGAATAATTCCTGGGAAAATATATTAATTCCCTCAAATAAAAACAAATAAAAACTGGTCGAAATAATTTTGGCACCCTACTGCATAGCTTTCAACACAGTGGCTTTGTGTGCGCATGGGTGTGTATTTTGTTTATGTGTGTATGTGTGTGTGCGCTCGCGCGATGTCAGCTCTATATATACTATCAGTTTAAAAGAAAAATCAAACACAACGTTTTTACCCGACAAACAAACACAAGTGAACTTGATAAAAGCAGATAAAACGTAAGGGACATCTGCTACTAGAGTCATATTTGCATAAACCAGGGCAGTCAAGATGGCTGATGTGGTCTATACTACGCCGACGACTTATGCTTCCAGGAAATTAGTGGCACCTATTTTAGGCTGGGTCAGCCTAAGAGCCAGCAACGTCTGTGGCTTAGGCGTTGCGAGTCCGACTCGTAATTCCAGCGTACCACGATCGAAACCCATTGCTGGCTGCGTGGATTTGTATCATGGTACGGGGCGGCGCGGGTCGACCCAATCTAAAAATGGGTACCCGGATGCCTGTCCTGGGAAAGTAAAGACGGCAGGCGTAATGATGACCACATTACCCAACTAGTTCCGATTGGTCTGTAAAAATATTGGTGCTCTTCCCATATGCCCGATGCGCCCGAAGACGTAAAAAGGGATCTTTACTTACTCTTCTTTTACTTTACAAGCTAAGAGCCAGGATATATTTTTTTAACAATTAAATCTGCACCCTAATGATTCAAAGTCAAGACAACCAGGTTGGCAGTACAGCTGCTAACTATTCGTTAGTGAAATATAAATTGACATTTCTCAGGCTTGTGTGACCTGACTTAACGATGAACATGTTTGTTTTCGTCACACATAGTTCCTTGATAATATTCGTCCTCTTGTCTCTGTTTTTCTAACTCGCATTGGAGCATACTCAACCAACTCCCGGCAAGTCTTCTTTTATTCGCTATCGCATACAGCTCTCCCTATGTCCTCTGCACCTTATTTAACTTTACTCTCTGGCTTTCGTCTCTACATGATATTATTCTATCACGTCGTTATCATTTGAGGGCTGAGGTTTGGGGTTTGAACAACTGATCAACATCATGGCACACACGTAGTAACCCATAAATGCTCAGTTTTTCCTTTAACTTAAGTCTGAGTCCGAAGAAGCTCTGCATAGTGCACAGGCTCTGTAGCACCGTCGAGGATCGTGAAATACTTTGGGTAGATTTTTAACTCCAAATTTTGACCAGGCAGCGCCGTTAAGCCACTCTTCGATTTTTAACTGCCAAGGGATTTTCACGTGCGCAGCAATGCTTACTACTCAGAGACCAGGGTGAATTACTTCAAGTCCACGTGAAAAAAATCATAGCCCTTACCGGGGATTGAACCCGGAACCTCTAGCACTAGAGGCGGACACCATGCCACGAGATCAGGCAGCTCCCATTTGAGGACTGAATGTACTAAGACTTGCTTCCTCTTCCTCGCGTTCATACGCGGTAAACTCTGGCGGAAAGTCCGGACTTTTCTTCCACTTGTGGACTTTTGTCTTGTTCCAGGTCTTGACTGATGCACGTCCGTTTTACAAATCTAACTTTTTGCGTGCAGACGGTTAATTCATTGTCTTCCCTCTTTGAAGAAAGTATCGGTCCTGTCTAAGTCAGCAAGACTTCTGTGTGGGATCCTGTTTCTGGATGACTACGAAAATGTGTGGATAGAAAAAAAAAGTGAAGATCCATTTTCACGCTTTTTAGGCGTATCGAGCATATGGGAAGAGCGCCCATATTTTTACAGACCATCGGCACTAGGTGGGTAATGTGGTCAGCATTACGCTGGCCGTCTTTATTTCCCCAGGACATCCATCCTGGTACCCATTTTAGGCTGGGTCGACCTGCGACGCCCAATACCACGATAAAAATCCACGCAGCCAGCTGTGTGTTCCAATCGCGGTACGCTGGAATTAGGGGTCAGACTCGCAACGCTGGTGTGGATAGGTCATGTTATACGTGTACCGGCGTACTCGTGCACCGATTGTCATCTGCAAACGACGCGACAAATATCACCAGTAAAACATACCATGCATGTCGTAAGAGGCGATAGAATGAGACTAAGGTGTGTTTCATGACGTAGACAACCAGCTGAACATTCTCATTGACCATGAGCAAGTCTTGAACTCTTTGAGTCCCAAACAACACGCCATGTGTGAATCATTTTTTCTTCTGAACCGCCTTCCTAGCGTTAAATGTTTTCTACTTTTTTTGTTCGTCATAACACACTTAATAAATCTGGCTCAGATGATCAGTACTAATGTTATATTATTGTTTTGAAAGTTATCATAAATTCTTTCACGAAACTGTCTTCTGGCACCAAACCAGATTCAGACCTCGGTCTCAACTGGTCGAGGGCGTATGCTCCTACGAGAGATGTAAGGCAGAAGGTGAAGAAAACACTGTTTCTCCCATTGGAAAGTTTTATTATTGCCACATTATTTCTAATTTAATTTTATTATTTTTAATGCTTACTTAATTTTATTTCGAATTATTATTTTACTCTATGTCTTTTTAGTTCCAGTTATGAATCATTAACATTTTTAGTTCTACAGTCTTTTATTCCTGCTTTTATTATCTGTCCAGTGTGATGCTGACCACATCACCCATCTTGTGCCGATTATAAAAATATAGGTCTAGTCCTATATGCCCTATACGCCTAAAGGGTCCTTTACTTTTACTTTACTTTATTATATAATCATCACTGTTACTTTTATGACTATTTTTTAATTTTCCGTTATTTTATTCTACTTTATTTTATTCATTTACCATCACTTTTTATGGTTTCTCACGTGACCACATGGTTGTTGGAGTACTCTCCCCTATGTTATTGTCGTGTTGTTAATTCATGTCGAGAAAAAAAAAACCGGCCGAAACGTCGATTAATGTGTTGTGTGCACTTTAATCTGCTTCCACATTCTGTTAAGTCACAGTCAGAGTTCAGTGGATTTAAATTTCCTAGTGAAATATCACTGGTATTTAAGTTCACAGGGCGGAACAAAATTGACAAAGCACGGATTACCTTTCCCGTGTGACGTGATGGAGAGAGCAACGTTCTGTAAGGTCCTGCTACAGGAAAGTGATGCGTTTCTCATTTTGTCCACAGACTCTTCCACGTGGACGAGACTCTGCAGACAATGTTTCATAAATTCAAAGACATCCGGAACGATGAAGAGCTGAGATCCAACGAGGCTCTGGAGTACCATGCAACACTGGTGATGACCACGCTAGATGACGCTATCGTTCACATCGACAACTTTGAATATGTACAGCAGTTGTTGCACCGAGTTGGTGCATCACATGTCAAGTTCCAGGGATTCAGACCGGAAACATTTTATGTCAGTTTTCTTGTTGTTGTTGTTCTTTGTTTAAAAAAAAACGTATTGCACTGGAACCCACAGTGTCAACGGATAACTGCAGACACAAAACTACAAACATGGGGGAGAATTAGAGAATGAAAAGGGTAGAAGGAGAGGGGCATGAGATTAGATGCGATCAATAGAAAAAGTAGGGCGATTTGGGACGAGGGAGTTTTAGGCCTGTGCTCCGTTATGGATGAGGAACTAAGAAGTATACTGTAGCACATAAGCGGCGTCCGTGGCTAGGGCGTTGCGAGTCTGACTCGTAATTCCAGCATACCGCGATCGAAACCCACTGCTGGCTGTGTGGATTTCTATCATGGTATGGGGCGTCGCAGGACGACCCAGCCTAGAATGGGTACCAGGATGGATGTCCTGGGAAAGTAGAGACGGCCGGTGTAATGCTGACCACAATACCCACCTATTGCCGATGGTCTGTAAAAATATTGGTGCTCTTTCCATTTGCCTGACGCGCCCAAAGGCGGGAAAATTGATCTTTACGTTACTTTACCGGAGCACAGGCACGTCTCATGTCATCGAAACGCGTCACTTTCTTAACTAAATTTTTACTCTTTCAGTATTATCCAATTCATCATACGTTCCTTGGTCGTTCTAAAGATAATGTGATATTCCTGCTGTCTTCTATCACAGACAGGGTTCTTTTCTTTTATTTCACATCCATGGAACTCCGAGATTTCTTGGGGAGTTTCCAGGAAAGTCCAATAGTTTAGCATTAAGATGTCAAATTACCACCGACTAAGCCCCCCCCCCCCCCTTTCCCACCCCCTAATATTGAAAGTTCCCAGGAACTGCTATAGAGTCCCCGAGATAGGGTGCAACAAACGAAGAGAAGCACATAATATTAACCCTTTGTATAATAATATTTATTTTAACAACTTCTGCCCCAAAATATCTTTGCTCAACTCGTTCAGGATTTTTTCATGGTACTGGGCGTCGCAGGTCGACCCAGCCTAAAATGGGTACAAGAATGGCTGTCCTGGGGAAGTAGAGACGGCCGGCGTAATGCTGACTACATTACACACCTAGTGCCGATGGTCTGAAAAAATAAGGGTGCTGTTCCCATATACCCGATGCGCCTAAAGGCGTGAAAAGGGATCTTTCGTTTTTTTTTTTTTTACTAACTTGTTCAGGCATTTGTATGTATTGCCTTGTTTAGCCCGGCTAAGGGTCAATCCTGCTATCATGTAGCAAAACTTGAATATATTTAAATCTGTTTGACTGCTTTGTAAAATGAAACTATAACATTGCGTGTCAATTGCCATTCACAGAAAATGAGAGAACCATTTCTGGAAGCAGTGAAAGTGACGCTGGGCGACAGATACACCGAGAACATTCAGAGCGTATACATCGTTGCAATCAGTTTCATCCTAAATACGATGGTAGAGGGTCTCAGTCAAGCTATAGGTGGAACTGGTTCAGGTTCCGGCAGTGACGTAATGCTTCAATCGTAACAAGAAAGCTCAACTACACCCTGCAGCTAGACTCATACAAGTCACATGATATAATACATCATTTCCAAGTTGAAGCTCCATATTTGTGACGATCTTCGGCAAACAATGAAAAGTGAGCAAGTTCTTGAATGCGGGATATTTAATGAAAGACAGTCGACCAACTTTTCAGACCAGGAATTCAGTTATTCAGTATTTGCAATGGAGATTAGTTAAATATTAGTCAAATGGTATGTGAGTAACAGTAAAGACAGTTACATTGATACAGATTGTAGAACGTTCTTTTTGAGTGTTTATGTAACATACATTCATTTTAGTTTAACTAGGCACCACTTATGTGATGGAGAGTGCAGACATACATTTGGAGCAGTGTAATTTCAGTTTCATCTATGTGATATATGTGGAACAGTAAAGTCAGTTACGAAGGTATGTGCTGGACAAATTATGCTTAGAGTATTTATTAAACATAAATGATAACTGAAGCGCCAGTCACATGCCGTTTGCAGTATATGTGGCGAAGAATGCAGCTATGTGCAATGAAATAGCGAATTCAGCAATAGATTGTGCAATGAAACGGAGAATTTAGTCACATTCTGTGCAATGAAACAGAGAATTCAGCCATGGTTTCTGTAACCAAACAGAGAATTCAGTCATAGTTCGTGTAATGAAAGGGACAGTTCAGCCACAGTTTGTGCAATGAAACAGAGAATTTAGCCATAGTTTGTGCAATGCAAATTTAGTTTCAAACATATGTAATGTGTATTGCAGTAAGGATAGTTACACTGGTGTGTGTTGATGAAAGTTCGTTTAGAGTGTTTATGTAATATAAATTCCAAAAGCCTACACACGTTTTAAGGAATTAATCGTACAGGTTGTTCTATGAAGATTTAGTTTAGTATTATATAAGAAGAGTGTCACTCAAATACTTATTGCATACGTTCAGTTAGTGTTAATTTACCCTAAATTCATAATTGTAATTCAGTGTTTCACAGGAAATGTAAACATACAGTTTGTGCCGTTGAAATTTAAGTTCAGTCATATGATACGTGTGCAACTTGGGGCCACGTTAGCGCCGTCGATAAAAGGCTCGCTTTCAAATCCAGCTGCCACTCGCTGCAGCCCACGTTCGGTGGTCGAAACTGTGAGGCTCCCGGGGTTCACCCAGCCTCTAGGAAATGGGTAACAGAGTTGTCACTCTGGGGTAAATAGAGGAGCGTTGCTGTAGTTACAAAGTTACGTGCGAACGGCGACATAGGCGAACAATTCTTATTAGCTGTCCGTACTGGTGGCAGAGCATTTATGGTTTATAACCGTGTGCAATTACGCTGGTTCACATCTCTCGACTTTACCTTTACCTTTACAACTGAAAAAAAAAATCAGTATCACTGGTATGTGTCTTGGAAAGTAATGTTATACCGTTTATGTAATACCTGATTTACAGAGACAACGCCAGTCACACGGTGTGCTTAAACGACAATTTTATTAGTTTATGTAAAGTCTTTTCAATACAGCCATCAGATCTTCTGGGGTCCCAGTGTGGGGAAAACAAGAATAGGCCCACTGTCTACCCAAAAGCATGTCGTAAGAGTCGACTAACTGGAAGCTTCCTTCAAAGTCGGAGTGCATCCAACAGTATGCATACAAATAGGTTAGTTTTTGTTACGGATGAGTACGTAACACTCAGGTACTGGAACAGGACTAAAGCCCAGAAGTGGATGAACAACTTGAACTTTCCACAGGGGTTTACAGCCCGTGAATGTAAAGAAAAACAAACAGAAGGAGAAGAAGTCAAGCCCGTGAATGTAAAGAAAAACAAACAGAAGGAGAAGAAGTCACACAGAATATGTGCCCAGTACATTCCTAAACTGTACATATACACCACATATATTCTTGTAATTTACTTAGACATAAATTCACTCAGAAATAATAGTGTGTGTCACAGGAATTTCAAACGTGCAGGCTGTGTAAGATAAATTTATTTGTAAGATATCGATAATGGTTGCTTGGAAAGGACGGCGATGGGGGGTTCAGTTTGTGGAAAACGAGGCGGAGGTCGACCTCATTGAAGACATTGAAGATGCATTGGCATTGAAAGCACATGGGGCTCGAGAGCTGTCTAGAAAAATTGATACTTTCAGGCGTGCCGTGGAGAGAACGACTTTTTTAAAAAACTTGCTAATTGATGATGATAGCTAATTAAGACATACACTCGTGCCATGTGTGCAGTGGACCAGAACATGAAACTATTCTGTAATACATTTTGTACAACGGGTAATTTTATTTTGCATTACTTGTGGAATGCAATGATATCGCACATTAAATATAACTGACGTCTGAATTACATTGCAAATGTGTTATTTAGTTTAGGACCATTATGTCAGTGAATGTGTGACGGTTTATGTGTTTTGTTTAGTATGTTTGGAAACTAGTTCCGTCCTACATATTACTAAATGAAGCAAATTATTATATGAAAGTTTTTAAGGACTGCTGATTTCCATCTGTAGGACTTTAAATAAAGAACACAAAGAAAAATAGCCAGCTGCGAAATTCGATGCTTGAGAAAGGCCGTGAACAAAAACTAGAGGATATCACTTGGGAAACGAAGAAATTTCAAGAATTTTTATAAACAAAAGCCGAAAATACATTAATTGAATAAAGATTAAAGGTTTAATTTGAGCGGATCGACTTCATTGCACCGGATTTTATACCATACGGTTCGATCTCGCTCCGCAAAAAACGGCTAGCTGCCTGCCGATAGCGCCCCGCAGAACATGAACTTCGTTGCTCCGGCGGCGATCCCTAAAGATCTCAGTGAAAATTGCACTCGTGAACTTAAGGGCGAAGCCGTGAAACGAACCCACTACGTTCAGAGCGTGAAGCAAACGGCTTACTTGCTTTTTACGACATGCTTGTTAGCAGGGCAGTATATCTATTCCATTCCCTGTCTCCAAGTCCCAACCCCCCCCCCCCCCCCCCCCCAACCTCCCACCCACACTCTCCCCCAACTTCACCCTCACCGCCACAGCAGTTCACAAAACCCATACCGCTATTTTTAATAGTGATTGTGAAGTCCTACTGACATGGGACAAGCGATGTATTTCGAAAATATGATAAAAAGGAATAAATAACGTTTAAAATTCCGGTGCTTTTTTTCCTACAAAAATTTATGTGACAGAAATTTGGAGGTCTAACAAAGGTAGGAAATATTATGTATAAGGGAGAGATATGTTTAAGTGACAGTTACTTATATTGTACAATGTGATTTGCAAATAAGAGTATGATTCATTATGCATGATTTAAATGTAATGATCAGATAAAACAGACAATTAGCTTGTAGAAAATTGATATTAAAACATGTATGATCTTAAGTTTTTGCAACTTAGTATGTATGTATGTTTGTATGTATAACGAACAATTATCTCAATAAAGATTGTGTGTGGTGTGGTGTGCCTACGTACGTGCGTGCGTACGTGCGAGCGCGCGTTTGTGTGTGTGTGTGTGTGTGTGTGTGTGTATGTGTGCATCGTGCGTGTTTTATTTTCTTTATTTACCCCAAACAAAGGAAATCCCGGAGTTTTCGGGAAAGTCAAACATTCTAGGGTGGTTTGGTTTGGTTTTAGGGTTAGGAGTTACAGTTAGGGATATGGTTACAGTTAGGGTTAGGCTCAATCGGTATCTGAGGCCTACGGGGCTGATAAATATCCTAACACCACTAGAATATTCGATTTTCCCGGAAATCCTGCGATTTCCTTTGTTTGGAGTGAATTAAAAAAAAAAGTAATGAATCCGCACAATATTTTGTTAAGTGTAATGAAAAATTATGTTATATAGTAAATACTTAATGCTAAAATAATGGGTGGTGCCGGAGGTAGGGGGGGGGGGGGTCAGATCCTGCCTATTGCTACATTTGGAAACAGGTCTGCTGCGCTAGAAAAATACGTTATTTTTTTTTTTTTATTAGGTCAAGCAGCCTACAACGGGTTAACTTCTTTGTTATAGGCTATTAGATTTTCTGCAGCATATGCTTATTCCCGATTGCCAATAAGTAAAGTAAGTAAAGGACCCTTTCCACGCCTTTAGGCGTATAGGGCATATAGGGCTAGACCTATATTTTTATAGACCAACGGCACAAGATAGGTGATGTGGTCAGCATCACGCCGGCCGCCTCTACTTCCCGGGATTGCACCCGGTACCCACTCAAGGCTGGGTCGTCCTGGGCGATTGCCAATAGGTCTGCAAAAAATATGGGTGCACTTCCCATATGCCCGATGCGCCTAAGGGCGTGTACATGGATCTTTACTTACTTACTATATTCTTTTTCACTCAATAAATTAATCCGCCGAACTGTCAGTAAGAAACTCCACGAAAGGGGACGGGGAAGGGAGCAATTTACACACACAAGCAAAATCAGACATTTTGACGAGAGCTTTTTTTTTCGACACAAACCACAACAGACACAGTGCACAGGCTCCGTTGCACCAGCGAGGATCCTTAAATATTTTGAGTATATTTTTAACTTTAAATTTTGACCCGGCAGCGCCGATAAGCTAATATTTTTGATTTCCAATTGCCAAGGGATGTTTTTACGTGCGCAGCAATACACACTGGCGTCTGATCACACTACCCAGAGACTAGGAGGAATTACTTGAAGTCCACCTAAAAAATCTTAGCCTTTACCGGGACCTGAATCCGCGACCTCTAGCGCTCAAGGCGGACACCATACACACTGGCGTCTGATCTCACTACCCAGAGACTAGGAGGAATTACTTGAAGTCCACCTGAAAAATCTTAGCCTTTACCGGGACCTGAATCCGCGACCTCTAGCACTCAAGGCGGACACCATGTCTCGAGACCCCCCACCCCCCCCCCCCCTCTTTTTTTCCCTGAGAGAGAAGGTAAAAGTTTTGGTAACATTCTACCCGCTGAAACACACGATACACCCAGGTAGAACTTCGTGTAGCCGTTACGCTTATCCACGTCTTCAAGCAAGTAGAACACCTAGG